ACATTTAAAATGTTAAGATGAGGTATCTATGTTATTTAGAAACACGCGGTACCACTGATGTTGAAAATGAGCGTACCTGTCAAGAATTGATTAATGAAGGTCGCCAAATACACAGCCCGATTGTTTCTATATAAGCTTAGAGGGTATACAAAAGCTGTGTATTCTTCAACGTTAAGACGGGTGTAGTCTTAACGAGAGGAAAAGGACTGCCAGTACAGAATCTGGTTGTTGTAGACGATTTGCTAATGAGTACTAATGAGGTATAAAACTGTTCACTGTTACCAGGTAATACTAATAGGTAAAATGTTAGTAATGTAATGAGTGTTTAAGTTATTAATGACTGTACCGAAGCTATATGTGGGTTGAGTGGGGTGCACACCACACGCCGTGGATATAGTTTTAAATAAAACAGGATGGCTTTCGGATAGTGGCAATGTAACAGTGAGAAAAAATAGGTATATTAATGAGACTAGGTCAAAACGTTAAATTACTGATGGTATGTTGTTAAAGTAACTATGTAATTGTTTTGACGGAATTATAAAAATAAAGGAAATCATAAAAAGGTAGATTACTGAGTTAAGGTCAAGAGGTCAAGAGGTAATTTAATACTGTTTTAGAATTCTGATGATTAAAGAGACGCATCAAAGTTTATTAATAATTGAATGAAGTTTTAATTTTAATTAAGAGTAAGAGTTAATAATAATGTTAGGCTAACATTGAAATAAAGTTTTAAATTAGGACTACTTAGTTTTTGGTCAGATGACAATGACATGTTTGATTTGAAGATGAATGAATTTATCCCAACACAAGTCGTCAAAAGAAGTGCTGATTGAAAATTCTTAAAGCCGGGACTTCTACCTTACTTAGAAGAAGAAGACGATGGTAGCGGAAACAGACCATTGGAAATCCAAGAGGATGAATTGGCGAAGTTAATGTGAAACTTAACTTTAACAACAGTATGTGTAGCGTAATAATATTTTGAAATTAGGACATGTAAGAATTTAGGAACATTTTAGTTATATTTTTTCTGTGTTTAGGTTAAAGTGGAAGAAAACGAACAATATGACAGTGAAATTACATTGACTTTGAAACAGTGCTATTTATTGTGTTATAACGTGAATCAGTGTATTTATGTTATTGCAGCATGCATATCAGTGTAATGATATTATTGTAGAAGTATGACGTGAATTATTTAATGGACAACTAGAAGTTTTTAGTAACTATTATTAGTGATTATTTAAAAATTGTTCGCAACATGGAATGACAATTTTGAAATGTCATTCTGAAAGTATTTGTCTTGTTTTGTCTTTAATACATGCTAGAGAACGACGTTAATTAAGCAACGGTGCTTATTTAACGCATTGCGAAGGGGCGTATATAAAGAACTTATGTTTAGCTTATATTTAATGTCATATCTGTGTGTGTAGTTTTCTGAATACATCCGTTTTATTATGGATATTATAAAGGTATAAAACATAGTTAACGTAAAAAGTGTTCCAGAGTTAATTGATCATATGCACAACGTGAACGTCATGAATAGATGAGTGTCACCCTAGTGTCACGGGCCACATACACAACGTGGAAGTAATTCATAATTCAACTATTTATAATTCAAGAGAAAGTGTTCATCATTTTCAAATGACCACATTTGCAGGTGGGATTGTCAGAAATATGGTAATAGTGCATATTGAAGAAATATGCACAAATATTTTATTTCAGATATTTAATTTTTATACGTCCACATGTGGACGTATATTGTCGTCGCCCCTGTCCGCCCGTCCACAATTGTTTGTGAACAGTCTACAGGTCACAATTTTTATCCGATTTCAATGAAACTTGCAATATAGGTTTATCACCCTAAGATCTCGGTTGCTTTCGATATTGGCATGTTTCGGACAGTAACTTCATGGATTATGGCCCCTGACTGTACTAAAAATCACTTTTTTAGCTTGTGAACACTGTAGAGGTCATAATTTTTATCCGATTTGGTTGAAACTTGAAATGTATGCTTATAACCCAAAGATCTCGGTTCTTATTGATATTCGCGCATATCGGAACGTAACTTCCTGAGTTATGGGCCCTGGTTGTACGAAAAATCGCGTTTTTAGCTTATGGACCCTATAGAGGTCATAATTTTTATCCGATTTAAAAAACCGTATTATTATATCACCGTTGAACCCTAAGGCAAGGTGAGTTCGAATTTCGTAAACACCGGCCCCAAACTGACAGACAAAATGGCCGCCGTTCGTTCTCTAATAGCGTAAAAATATGGTATATCAAGGTTGTGGACCCTATAGAGGTCACAATTTGTATCCGATTTTGTTGAAATTTGAAATATAAGTTTATAACCCAAAGATCTCGGTTCCTTTCGATATTCGCGCATATCGGAACGTAACTTCCTGAATTATGGCCCCTGATTGTACGAAAAATCACGTTTTTAGCTTGTGGACCCTATAGGGGTCATAATTTTTATCCGATTTCAAAAACGTATTATTATATCACCGTTACACCATAAGGACGACTGAGTTCGAATTTCGTGAAAATCGGCCCAAAATTGACAGACAAAATGGCCGCCGTTCGTTCTCAAATAGCGTAAAAATATGGTATATCAAGGTTGTGGACACTATAAAGGTCACAATTTTTATCCGATTTTGTTTAAACTTGAAATGTAAGTTAATAACCCAAAGATCTCGGTTCCTTTCGATACTCGGACCTTAATTTCCTTAATTATGGCCCCTGATTGTACGAAAATTCGCGTTTTTAGCTTGTGAACCCTATAGAGGTCATAATTTTTATCTGATTTAAAAAAAACTATTATTATATCACCGTTGCACCATAAGGAAGGCTGAGTTCGAATTGTAAGTTGAAATGTAAGTTTATAACACAAAGATCTTGGTTCCTTTCGATATTTCCGCATATCGAATTGTAATTTCCTGAATTATGGCCCTTGATTGTAGGAAAAATCACGTTCTATTTAGCTTGTTCTCTATCCATCTCTCGAAAATGTGGGCGTATCCTGTCTGGCAGCCGCTGGTTACCTTAATTTTTCAATGTTCCCTACCCTTACACTTGATATGCCAAATTTAAAAATCACCAATAAAATTACGGGCGATATTATTAGACCAAGACAAAGTTCAACTTTGCTTGTATCAGGCATATAAACCAAATCAAATTCAAGCTCATTCATTTACGACCTATCTGTTGCTTGAGCATAGTTACACATCGGTTATATTACCACAAAATTATCCCTAAATACGAGGCCCCTCGTTCATTTTCTGATTTTGTAATTAGCTCAAACCATTTCCTATTTTGTATTCCGATAAATATCTTTTTGTATTTTGTGTATATAGGTATATCTATATACAATTTTAAATTACGGTTAATGTGATTTTGGTATTCAGCCACATTTTTATAATTTGAATTGTCGGAGAATTTTTTTTTCATGAAGGAGGTGCATTGTAACAGTACATATTGAAGAAATATGCACAAATATTTTATTTTAGATATTTAATTTTTATGTATTTTAAAGAATGTTTATATGTTTATTAAAGACGGCGAATGAATAATCCCCTAATAAGCATAAATCAACCTACGCTGATGGGTGTCAACAGATTATTACCCATGTTATAAGAAATGAAATGAAATGGGGTTTAACGTCCTACTGTTCTGCTCCGAACTGGGCTAATGAAGACGGGCATACGCCATACATTGTGCTATGAGAGAAATTTTGCCCGGATACCGGCACTACGATCTACTCTTATATCGAATTCCAACTGTTAAGGGATCTTTTACGTGCACTTCAATATTTGCATGGGATTCGGTTTTTCGTACCATCCGAACGAAAAGGGAAGGGGGGGGGGGGAGGGCAGGCCGGAAAATCTGGATAAACTTTCTCGGCCAATGCATGGATTGAACACCCGACCCACTTAGCTCAAATTCACAATTATCTTCACTTAATAAATTACTAAGAAACGACAATATTGGATTTCTCTTATATATTTCAAGGTGAGCTCTCTACTGTATAATTTGAATGCTAAACTTTATATATATTTTTATTTTAACTTAAGATTTAGTGTTATATCATGTTATATCGGATAAGTACGATTAATAGAATCGAGTATTACTTTAATCGATATTTCTAAATCTACGTAAGCATTGATTAATAAATGGAAAAGTACGTTTATCGACAAAATACTTGTTTATTTAAATATGTTTCAAATATAGATAATTAGTGTATAGAAATACTTAAAAATGGGTGCCCTAAAATAAACGGAAAAGTAAGAATTGATATGATTTATTACCTGTTTAATTACTGGCGAAGATTTTACACTATATATTATATACTTTTACAACGTGACGTAAAAATTAATGTCAAGTTTCAAATTGAAAGTACTTAAAGATGTTGAATATTTTTAGTATCTGAACTTAATTTGTTCCATTGTTTGTACTGAGATTGCAGAGTGCACGTTTCGTTAATATTAAAACATGGAGATATTATTGGAGTAGTATTTTGATATGAAGCAACATGACAAGTGACCCCACTCGGGGCCAGTGTCTCGAGCTTCTATCAAATGGCTTCGGTGTACTAGAAAGCAAAAGGTACCCCTAGTCTTATTACAACACTGGCTTATACACAGATACAATTCATTTGTAATAATAAAATACATTTAGGAGGTTAGGGTTTCAAAGTACTTGTGCATTTGAGCTGTACATTGGTAAATAAATCGAAAATATGTTTATTTATGTCCCATAGGAAATCCACACGACGTTTCCTTTTCGGGTATGATCTTCGCAGTCTTTCGTTTCATTCGTACGTCGCACATACAACTATACATCAAAAACTTGCAATTAGAAGACATTGTAAATTTAAAGGACTAATCCGGCAACACTGAGCAGCGGTTTCCGGACTCGTTAATTAGCAGTACGTGCAATACTTAGTTTAAAGTATTTCATTATATTAGGAATATAACAAGGTTTAGTTCACTAACTATGTTACTTACCCACGATAGTAGCAAATATAAATACACCTATTAAATAACTCACAATAACAAACAGGTATCTGAAAGATGAAATATATATAATATAGAATATATATATTATAATACAAATTAATACAAAATGTTTTGTTAGCATACACAAAATCTTAACAATATCAAACTGCATCTGATATTTCTATATCTATTCTAATATTTGTGACTGTCGTTTGTCTGTCTATTCAGGGTTGGTGGCTACACTAGAGCTGTCCCGAGACTGAAATTTGGTGTATAAGGGTAGCTCGGACCGGGGAGTAACATGGACTAGGTGGTGCTGGACTACCGATTCTGGTTTTGTAGTTATACTACTTCCAACCCGTGCAGAGCCGGGCCATCCGCTAGTTTAACAATAACACGTTGTATTTTCCGAACCATTAAATACACCTCTAAAGAATCAGAAATATAGACTTTTAACACGCCAACCATCAATCTAATTGCATGTATAATTTGGCTGTATAAATGGATACTTATAAAAAATACATTAACAAGCGATTGAACATTGTTAATTTTCCTTGAGAGCAAATAGTTCCAGATGATATCTAAAAGGCGAACAGCTATGGTCAACCAATCTTGAGATATCTTAAAGTTATTATTTCCAACAACAAACAGGCTCCAAATTACGACGAGGTAAAAAGTGAATACATGTGTATTGAAAAAGAAAAGAACATAAAGTGTATAAATTATTCAACAGCAAAATGTTTTGTGAAAAAAGACCCACAACGTTCTTTTAACTTTTATATGTTTTAGATAAAAGTGAATATATTTGTAAATGATTGTTAAAAATAAATTAACACAAAATAATAGTTACAGGTATGCATATCAAACAAAAACGTTTAGTATGTAATCACAGTAATCGAAACAAAGTTATTTTTCTAATAATAATAAAAACAATGACTCTCCTAATTAATACAAATTACATCTATTCAAATGCATGTCTAACACTAATAACATAATTTGAAACGCATTGTTGAACAATTTTTATCAAATTTATCTATATAACGCACCTTAAACTGCAAGCAGATTTTTGTGGTCAAACACATCAAGAAATCTGACACAATCTTTCCAATATAAAGTGAAGTGTGATAGAAATTATGCATTTATCGTTGAATCATTTTCAGTCCCCAAAAAAATTGAACATAGCTATCACTGTTTGTTGCACTTTTGTGGTTAACAAAGATTTTTGCAGTGAAAAACAACAGTAGAAGGATTATTAGAAATTGCAATTAGTGCTTTGATAGTGGGTTTTCTAACAGTTAATTATGTATAAGTGTGCCATTTCAAGCCTTTGGCTATTCGTGTTAGACATCCATTTGATAACACACGCCACTTACTCCATATTAGACATTCGCCAGCTGTAAATAATACCAAAAAAAAATTGTTACTTATAATTGCGTTGATTATGAAATCACCCGAGGAAACCCAAGATTCTCACGACAAATGCACATTTCTTTTCACATTTTCTTCAATTTTCTCAACAAATTGCATATTAATTTTGTGGTTTTTGTATATCATATTTTTATGATAGGTGATTTCCTGGGATCCTGAACTGGACAAATATATGCATAATAATACCAAGGTTGTGGCCACTCTAGAGGTCACAATTTTTCATCCGATTTTGATGAAACTTACAATGTATGTTTATAACCTAAACGTCTCTGTTCCTGTCGATATTGGCGCATATTGGACCGTAACTTCTTGGATTATGGCCCCTGATTGTACGAAAAATCACACTCTTAGCTTGTAGGCCCTCTGGAGGACACAATTTTTTTTGATTGTAAAAACCGTTCAAATATACCACAGTAACACCATTACTGAGTTCAAATTCACAGATCAAATGGCTGCCCCCCTTTACGGAAATAGTGTAAAAGCATATAATACACCGGGCGACCTTCGGATGTAAACTGTGGTTGCGACTACAGTGTGAACCAGCACCCGAACTCAAATGGTCCGGACCATTGGCTATTCAATATGACGGCGCCCATGTCAGTTGTTTCGGCTGCTATATTTTCTACCATTTACTCATATTTAAAACTATATTTTGACGATGGGGATGAAGAAATGCTTTTAAAACATTTTCTTAACTGGTAACATGGATCATTTCACAAAGTTTTTTGTCGTGGGCTTATATATATTCTCTAACTTCCGGGTGTAACCATGAACCCTGCAATACGGTCCATGGTGTGAATGACGCATTGACAATTTTCAATTTATGAAATTTTTCAGACAAATCTCCACACGTGTCAGTCTTTTCAGCCCTTTCGACCGTGCTCTATCGCATGGTACACGGCCAGAGGTTGAACTAAATGTCATTAGCATGCAGATAGTTGGACTAGAGTACGGAAATCCGTGCAACTGAAGGACGCCCTGTCGTGGACCATCTAGAGGTCACAATTTTATTTCCGATTTGCGCTTATCTGTCTGGATAATGTCTGGATAATGGATAACTGTCTGGATAATGGACCCTGATTTTACGAAAAATTACATGTTTAGCTTGTGGTAGCAATGTTGATCTTAATTTCAAAATCGTTCAATATATCAGAGTGTTCCTAGAAAATCGGACCGAAATTTTTCGTCAAATGGCCGCTCGCCTTTACGCAAATAGTGTAAAAGTATGTAATACCGAGGTTGTAACAAGTTTTATCCGATTTGGATGATACTTAAAACGAGTGTTTAAGTATCACTAGTTCTTGTGTGAGTTCAAGTTTGGTGCTCATCGGCCCTTCCGCTCTGGAGTTAAGTCAAATGCCCTTCACGCAAGATTTGAAATATGAATGAAGTTTGTGGACCTCCCAGAGTCGACAATTTTTGTCCGATTCGTGAGATCAAAATTACTAAATTGCTAAATGCCAATCAAAGAAGATGAAAATTAAACTATGTGTTGGGGATCAAAAGGTCTTGGATGAGTTTCGCTTTGGTAGTCCGAATCGGTTTGTTACATAATTCCCATCCGTCGGCTTTTCGGGTAGAAATCGCGGAATAAGCTTTATTTTGAAGGTTTTGATGTTTAATGTCAAAACACCAATGTTGACATTTTTCTGAGAAGGTCTTCACGGTATGGGAGGCCATTTTTTTGAGGGTAGCCATTTTGCGATAATATTCCAACTTACTTTTTTATTTACACCTTATTTATAATGTTATCGACATATCAGCTGTGATTTGGCAATGTATTAATACTGGCAAGGGTCGTGACTATATTTCAGATGTTTTCCCATCACTTCATGAAGATATTTCAAAGATGGTGACATAGATGTCATACGATTGTCCATTGTTCGGGCTCTCCAATGACACTTTAGTTGTTTTGATTCGGTGAAATCTTACGTAGTAATAACTTTTTTCGCAAGATCACCATTTTTTTTTACTTTTTATGGGTTTATTTTCTCAATATATCGGATATTTTTTTCGACTACTTCCGGTTTTTGGATCATTGTCGGGATAGTTTTAACAAGTTGTTTGGTTACCGAACCTTCTGTACAAGAAGTTTCAGAAAAATCCATTCAGCTGTTTTCCAAAGAAAGAAAAATAGAAGAGCATCTTCAGTAATTTAAGGATTTTTCAACTTTTTTCCAAGATTGAGGCTCTTTTTTGACCACTTATATTATTTCAATGCTTTTATTTTTGGACTCACGCTATAGTACACCGATAGGACTCTGAGTAAAAAAAGTTTCAGAAAAATCGTAGATTTCGTTTTCGAGAAAATGGCGTCTCAGAATGCTCCAAAACGGAAAATACTAGATTTTCGGCGTACCATAATTTATTTTCTAGCCATCTAAATCGTTTTCCATCATATCATGAAGATATTTCCAAAATGGCGATCATTTTTGGCGGGAAAATCGGACGATGTGGGGATTTTGATTAAGTAGTGGTGTTTGGTGTCAATACATATGTTTTCAGGGGCACAGATTCCATTTTTAACGGTTACAGCAGCTAAATCGTCCGTGCGGTCAACAAGGGCTGTCGCATATTTATTCCTTTGTTAGTAATTAGAGTCATTTAATAGACAATTTCATACAGATGACATTATAATTTTCGTCGTTTGAGGGTTCACAACAATCACAAGGTTCTAAAAACTAAAATAAGGGCCGTAACTCAGGAAGTAATCTACAGAAATTGTTGAAATTCAACAGACCTTTTCGATTTACTAATTCAAATAATGCTTATAAATTTCATACATATCGGATGATAACTTTTGTTGTTCGAACGTTCTCAAGGTTCAACAAAGTAAAACAAGGGCCATAACTCTAGAAGTAATTGACGGAAATTGCTGAAATTCAATAGGCTTCTTCATTTCACTAATTTAAATGATGCATATAAATTTCATACAGATTGGGTGATAACCCTTGTCGTTCGAGCGTTCAGAATATTCAACAGAGTGAAACAAGGGTCATAACTCTAGATGTAATTAACGGAAATTGCTGAAACTCAATAGGCTTGTTCATTTTACTAATTTATACGATACATATAAATTTCATATAGATCTAACTTTTGTCGTTAGAGCATTCACTAGGTACAACAAAGTGAAACAAGGGCCATAACTCACGGCCTAATTAACGGAAATTGCTGAAATTCAATAGGCTTTTTCGTTTCACCAATCTAAATGATGCGTATCAATTTCATATAGATCGAATATGTATAAGCTTGTAGCATGTTCCTGGAAGCACGGGTGTGTTTTACCCATTACGTATATTATCCAACAATGTAAATTCGTCATCCAAGTTGACCACTAATATCGATTAACCAGGAAAATAGCACATTTACTTGGTCGATCGCTTTGTAGTAGTTGGACTCAAATCTGATTCTAAGACTTGGTGGCGCGATCGAGACTTTTAGTTTATGTTGTCTGTCAGTTATAGATACAAAATTAACGGTGGTTAAAAATGTGAGAATTAATAAATTAATAATAAATTTATAAATTAAAAATAGAACAGAAATGTATGATATTAAATATAAAGCAGTATACAAAGAAATAAAAACAAGGACTGCAAATGAAATAGTAATACCTGCTATAAGAAATCTTCGTGGCATAGATTATATATCAACTGACCCCAAGCTGCGTGTAAAAGAAGTCATTGAGAGGAATGCAGTTGCGTTGGAAAAACAAACTATATCACCACTTAAATGACAACGTTATCCGTCATTTATGACGTCTCTGCCATCACTATTGAAATAACTGGTGGCAGTGATGTCAAAGTAGCCGACCACAAGTTCGTTCCACAGTTCGCCATAAGCGTGGTAAAAGCATGGTGGAAACCCCAGATATCGCGCTGTGGTCTCGATGGTCGCAAATGATCGCCGAGTCACGGCGTTTGTTGTTAGCATGTTCAAAACAAACGCCAAGGTTCTGCGATCTATCCTGGAAAGATGTGAAAACGCGATTTTTCAAGTTTGTAATATTTTGGGACATTTTCGCACGCTGTGTTCACGTTTGCCGGCGACCTTGTGCATTTTCTGGTCGCCGCACGGTCGCTGCAGAGCAGTAAGGACGCCACCCCGGTCTGACGGGGCATTAGAATTTTCCAGGTTAGATCGCAGAGCCTTGGCGTTTGTTTTGAACATGCGTAAAACAAACGCTGTGACTCGGCGATCATTCGCAACCATGGAGACCACAGCACGTTATCTGGCGTTTCCACCACGCATTTACCGCGCTTATGGCGATCATGACGCGCTCTGCAACAATTTTCCGTCGCAGTAAGGACGCCACCCCAGTCTGATGGGGGTATTAGCAAGTATTTCATTTACAGCCACGTCCCCACCACTCGGAACCAAGTTGCCGCCAGGCTGGAACGAAGCTCCTATAGTCACATGCTTGCTACGCTGTTACGACCTTTATGTATATATAGGGAAGATACTGAACATCGTCCGTCAGCTCCAACTTAGCGTCCCAAGAGTAAACATCAAGAAAACTAAAAATTGTTATTGATTGCTTGACTTTTGATTGTTCTCTGCTTTGAAAGTTAATGAAGTCATTATGGGTGTGGCGAGAGAGCGTCCTACGCCTGGTAGGCACGTCACGGGAGTGTGGTGAGAACGTACCCCGATCTGTCTGCTAACGACGAGATCATGAAGGGAACACGTTGCGCGTAGCTAGAGCTTGGCCATGCGGGTATTAAGATCTTAACTGGAGCGCGCTAGGTGTAGCAAGCGCTTGGTTGGTCGTTGTAGAAGCATGATGGGTGCGTGTCAATTTCTTGCCACGTTTATTGGCGCAAGCCCAACGCTGCCGTTACGCTCTCTTTGCCTTCTTGCCAGGAGACCTAGTTACGGTACCGGCTTTCAGGAATGTGCTACAAGCTGATAGCCTACGGAGCAGAATTGGACTTAGATGTAAATAACAACAAGTAAATAAATGACAATA